TTTCAAGAATCGAAAATTGGAAAGAGATTTTAGAGACTCAACAACGTGAAATGATTTTGAAATCTAAGACCTGAAGATTTCACTTGTAATCTTTGCGAATTTTAATTCGACTTCCGTGAAAATGATTGCGCTGAAGTCCTCGGCCTAAAATGTAGTTTTTTTTTCTCGCGTTGAGGTACACCGAGAAAATCGTTTCAGCGAATTCGACGCGATATATGCCTTTCTATATCGTAACACTACGCGCGCGTATGTATACATTGGCGCGTGTGTGCCGTTATGCAGTGGCTGTCGGATGCTTTGTACGATTGTGGCCATTTGACAGTTTGTATATGGATAATTCCGGAAATTGACAGTGGTCATATGCAGTCCAGTACGAATGTCCAGCCGCACGTGTAAATACAGAATGGGCGAAAAGTCACGCGTTCCGAGCGTTGTTGAATAATAATCGCACAACCGCGTAAATACATTACTACTGTTTGCGCAAATATCGTGCGACGAAAAATCAAATGTTGCTTCAATATTACACGTTGCTTGCGTCGTAGCATAAAACTTGCGGATTTTGCGAGAAACGATTGGTTACGCGCAATCATTTCACTCGCAATAAAATCAAATCTGTAAGAGCATCTATAATCGCGACGATTTTAACGGCCCTTAAGATGTCGAGATAGCAGAAAGTCGCAATTACTATGCGTTTGAGAATAAAATTTTTACGTGACAATTGAAAAATCCTTGCGAAAGGTGTCGCGTGATTTTTCCATCCATCCATAATCGCATGCGAGCTCTCAACGTTTAATTTAAAAAATTGAAGATACACGGATGTGCCTCGGGCACAATTTCGCTCACTAGGCGACGTTTACCCGCGCGCGGGCGAGTGGCAAAAACGAAAGTTTCTTCAGGATGGAGTTCTTCTCCGCGTCGATTGGCCAACAGCGACTGCATTCTAATGACGGTGGAGCGACAGCGGCAGCGACAGAGTTGACTTTCGTAATATTAGGATGAAAGATGAAAAGCAAACTGCGGCGTTAAACTTTGTCGCGGTCAACCAATTAAGTACAACCGCGTCCCGACTACAGGCCGGGCTATAATTTCTCGCGCACGATGGAACATCGATTCTGAAGTGCTCCTCTTGCTCTCGCTCGTTCCCCTCGAGCCCTGTAGCGCAGGGCGGCGGGATCGCGAGAGAGAAAGAGAGACTTCGACTGGGAAAGTCACATATGCGGACGTGCACACACGACCAAAATCAGCGCCGCACCGCCGTCTATAACCGTCGCACATCGTTCATTCGAGTCTGACGTATCGAGAGCATCGTGGAAACACGCGGAAAAATATTGCGTTGATGTTTTTGAACGCAGGGGCTCTCAAACGGCGCAAAGATCCTTCGATCGCAAGATCGAAAGAATGTGCGAATTATAATACTCTCGTAATCATTGACTCGTTAATTTCTTAATATTAAAAGTTCATAAATGTTAACAATTTTTTCGGTTAAAGATGACAACAAATTCTTCCTTTATATCGGAAGAATATTAAAATTTTGAATTTTAATAATTAATTTGATGCGTGATTGGAAAAATATTAACATTTTTCAATCATCAATTTAGTATATGATAGCATAAATTCAATGATTTTAATAGAACAACAATATTGCGCGAAATTTGAGAACCCCTGTTTTAGCAGAGGACGGAATCGTCAGAAAAATCGTCATTGCTCGTAAAAGTTGTTTTCCTCTTGTCCTTTGCTAAACTCTGCCTTTTTGCATTTTAATTATTTTTCTCATTGGTCTCTCGCTTTACATGCGGAAGAATCGACTCTCGTTTATGTTATCAATTCTTTCAAGCCCGATACAGGTATTTACCGCTAAATCACCGTAATAATAACACTTTGTATCGATTTCCATATCTCTGATCGCAGAATTAAATTCTTTATCTTGTAGAAAACCGATTTATGGAAATTATAATTTTAATTCGGAGACAAAAATTGTTGTCAACATTCGACAAACATTCGTATAAAAAATCCCCGATATCTCGGTTCAACTTATGAATCAAAGTTGGAGGGCTGCTATTAACTTTTATGACAACTTTTACGGAACATTAAGCGGCGACAATCGATAAATGTTGCAATTACGACGCACACATCGATACCATATACCACTTGTCGTACGACGCGTCGCGCGGAAAAGACGAAAAGAAGAACAAAAAGCAAGGCAAAGAGAGAAAGAAGAGAAGTTGATTGGCGTGTGATGTGATCTGTCAGCCAAGGAGGTAGGCCTGCAAAGTGCACCTTAACACGATTCAACCTGCCCTGTCAATAAATAAACCTTGCGTGTGTCGCATATTGCAATATAATGTTGCGTGTATATATAAACAGTGAATAACATATATATAAAATCATAAAACGATAAAACAAAATAAAATAAATTATCCAATATATTAATATATATATATATATACTTAATAAATCTGCAATAATATATTAATATTCTGGTTATATATTATTAAATTATAGGTATGCGTGTTCGGTTAGCCTTAACTATGCAAAGTGCCCCTTTTTGCAAAAAGAGAGAAGATCGACGGTAATATCATTGCATCACAATATTGCGGTTTGGCTCTTTGAATAGCTAGCGGACTCGGCGTATGCTACGTACGCGTCTCATATATGTGTTTCTTGCACGTGTGTGTATGTATGTATTCTAGCGAGCCCCGAAATAGGCGATTATTGTTACGCCACGTGTGTCTACAGCTTGAGAGAATATGAATGTTGATAAACGCGGACAAATTTCAACTTTAATTTTGGAATTCAAGAAAAATCCGGAAATCACTAGGAAGATCGCTTTTACTTTTATTATCAAATGTCATAATTATAGTTCGTTCGAATGCAGAGTCTTGCGATTTTGGCCACGGATGATATCAACTTCGAATTAGCAATTGATTTCACATTGCAAAATGGATCATTTTCAAGGTGTTCACATTTGTCTAATAACTTAGACACTATAGGCGTCGCTACGCTTCTGTTTAACGGAAGCTTCCTATCATTGTTGTGTATCTCGCGCCAAGTTAGCGGCGAGGCGCTTCTCCTCCTTCATCTCGTGTGCATGTGTGATATATTAGAATATACACCGCTCAAAATAAATGATTGGAAAATCATCTCCGAACAATTTTGCAGAAAGGACAGTCTGTAGCGTACCAAGGTGTCGTTGAAATAATTAAACTATTGTCTCCACGCGAAGCCGAATCTCGGACGCTAAAGGATATACACTTCAAACATCGGGCGATTATTATCACACGATTGCGGCATTTGATCGAACAATTTCTCAGTTACTTTCGAGCGGCGTATATTTATCGTATTCCTTTCAAAACCATTATAATATACAAATAAATTTCATGATGTAATGAAAAAAAAAACAAAGAAAAAAGAAGAACAAACAGATTGCACCCCAACCAATTAAATATCAATGTGCAACGACGATACAAGTATCGTGACCATCCCATGAATAAAATTACTCTTTAACGTAAATATCTCCAACCAATGGTAGATTATTAGTGTGTGGTAGGTTATAAAGTATAAAATATAGTACTATAAATCATCCAATACAATAAAACCTTATTTGTTGCCTACGCACTTAAGTCCCGAATCGTGGAATGTCTCCGTGATTTCCACCATTCACCCCGCGGTCGCATTATAATTAACGCGGCGTGCAGCTTAAACGTTAATATTATAGACTTTAGGTGTTAATTAACAAATAACGTGCGTTTTATAGTCAAAGTTCATATTAGGACTGCAGAGCGCGCTACGCAACATTATCAAAACTTTACGAAAGTATGCGTAAGGACAGAAATTTCGTTGTGCTCGATTTGCGTTGTGTGTTCCTGTTTGGCCACGCGCGCGCGCGTGCCGACAATTCGTGAAAGTCTGTATCGGCATGTGTGTGTGTGTGTGTGTGTGTGTGTGTGTGTGTGTGTGTGTGTGTGTGTGTGTTTTGCGTGTGATGTTACTCCGGGACAGGTGTGTGCGTAGATGTGCACGCATATGTAATATTGCTACTGGTTCCCGAAGACTGACAATATATTACGATTACAATCTAATATGAAGTCCAACTATAAACTCTTCAACAACTATACGACTCACCCTGCGTATCGAATGAATTACTCCCAGCGACTCAGCTTTAATTAATAGATAGATAATTATAATTAATTAATTGATTCATATTAATATTCTTTCCGGCTGCCGTCACGCCGTCTCGACCGGTCGGCAGCAGCGTAATCTACGGGAGGAAATTGGCACCACGTTTGCTCCCCATTTTACATATATTTATATGTATTTATATTAATTATATGTAATTAAATCCACGCGCACACTAGCCGTACGCGAACGTATTCATATCGCTTCAAATCGCGCGACTTCTCCGTGAAATACTAGGAGAAGTATCGGTGATCGGCGCAGCGCTCGTTTTCTCATCAACGGAAAAAAAAAATAAAGCTGCCCGGTCTTTGGACATCGTCGCGATGCGGACGAGGACGACGCACGCGAGCGTCGTGGACAGTGTGGATCGCGATCAGTCGCTATAAATTGGTGATCGACGAGAGTGAAAAGAAAAATAAAAATAAAGAAAAACGACGCTGCGCGCAAAGAACAAAGTGATAACTTCTCTTCCGCGAACGCGTTTCTTCCGCGAGAGAAAGGCTCCGTTTAAAGCGACCTGCGCTAAGCAATACGGCTCATCTCGGATCGACTTATCGGTCGACGGTGCTTGCGATCGAGGACGCGGGCTCTGTCTCGATTCTCCGATACGAAGTTCGAGATTCAAAAAGATCTAAGTGTCTCTCCGAAGGATTCGTGGTCGTCGTCTTGTGTTGGAAGCACCAGTCCTCATTACATCATCGCAGCCAAGGATTCAAGATATTATCAAGGCGAAAGAACAGGAGGAACGATCTTATCTTGCGTAACCCGCTTTCGGGTAAATCAGTAATACGACGTCCAGAAGAACCGAAGAAGAGCGAACGTACCCTCGTCGCTGCTCACCGTCGTTGCCGTCGCGCGCAATGACTTCATCTAGCGAGACAAATCGTACTGTAATAAATTTCATCGCGGAGCCTCTATCGTTCGTCGCAAAAAAGAAACGCCCTCGCGACGCGCAGCGTCGTTTTCGCGGCCCACGACTTGGCGTGCTTCGCGCTCGCGTACACCCGCTTCTCGGCGACTCCTAAAAAAAAAAACACTCAGCTCTCTCACAGCTTCCGACGACGTTTTTTAGCTACAAACAAGCCCACTCCCAAAAAGTCACCGCACACTAAACTGTACACATCGCTGTATATTAATTCTTTCTGTTTCTTTTTTTTGTTTTTTACGATTTTCGTTTGTTAAAAAAGACCCTTACAGGAGAATTTCTCGATCCCTTAAGCGTAGAACCTACAAAAAGATTTGGTGTTCGAGAAAGAAGAAAAGCCGAGAGAAAAACCGGCCCTTTTCCCCCAAATGGCCGTAACATCAGAGCCGTATCTTCGCCGTGTGTGCGAAATACCCCCCTGCGGCTGCGGCCACCCGCGCTCTCAGTGTGTTTTTTTCGTCGTGTTTATATTTATATATAGGTATATATAATTTTTTTAGGGCGCGTATGTTAAATATATATTATGATTCAATATATATGTATATGCATATTTAAATATATACTCAATACATACGTTAAATATATATTAAATATATATTTAAATATATATTAAATATATATATCTCTCATTTGTTATCTTTTTTTTTTTCCTCCCCTCTTCCGACGTCTTAGGATAGCGTGTTCATGGTGTCGTTGCTCGTTGAGAGCGCCAACGAGCCCGCCATGAAATCGTTAAGATCGATCTTTCTTGCTTCGGGGTGTTTGAATTTAAAGTGCGTGCGCAGGTTGTCGCTACGTGTGTACGTGGCACGACAGAGAGGACACTCAAACCTGCCGGGGAAGTGGACGTGGTAGTGGTTCCTGATGTGCGTCACGACCTTGCCGCACAGCTTGCACCTGTGAAGGTTGCAGCCGCCTGGCACCCGGTCAAAGGTCAGCCGCATGTGCCAGGCTTTTGAACCTGCAACATCAACACAAGACAAGTCACTTTCAGCTGTTGGCCTCCCAACACGAACTAACGCGGCGAGCCGCCGACGACATCGGGCGGCTCGTTTTTTTTTTTTTTTTCTTTCTTATTTCTTTTTCTTTTGTTACACACTTTTTTTTGTCATGTTATTCTGATTACGTTACTTCGATGCCGTTTCTGTGCTGCTTTCGCTTTTGTGATACTTTACTTCGATACGTTTTTCTCGATTTAAGCTCGTTACTTTTTTTGGTTCTAGAGCGGCTTTTCGAGGGTCGCTGGATCCTTGGATACTTGGCTAGGCAATACGACTTCGTGGAAGTCTCTCGGATTCCAGGATCGTCGAATCCTTGAATCCTCGGACCAGAACTGTGGACAGATCCCGGTTGGGTCTTTGAATCTTTGGATTCTCGAAATCTTGGATTCTGAGATCTTTAGATCAACCGAGTCCTAGGATCTTGAGACATTCGATCTTCGGAATCTTGAACCTATAGATACTCGGCTTCTCGAATCCTTGGATTCTAAGATCCCCGAGGTCTTGAGTCCCTGGGGTCGTCGGACATTTAACTCCTCGTGGATGCAAATAAGATCTTTCTCTGTATCCTTGGATCCTCCGATCCTGATCTCACTCTCGTTAATTTCGCGTGTTCATCATCCCCGAGTTCTTTTAGTCGCTTGCTTCCCTACCTCTCTACGTCTCTTTCCTTTCCTCAAAAGTCCTCCCCTTCTTCTCGTCAAATGTACTGTGTATGTATACTATGTTATGTGTTACACACCCTGAACGCGCGATTAATTTAATCGCTAGAGACAGACAGAACGAGCGGCAGACAAACACTTGAAACGAAATATAGAAAAGAGAAGTTTTTCCCTTTTTCAGTGATATCTCAATTTGGAAATACCGATCTCGTTGCGATTGGATGTACTAAATCGCGAAAATTAACGTATTTCTGGCAAAAGGTATGAAGCAACTCGTATATCATTTTTAAAATAAGCACCAAAACGGACTCGTTCGCGAATGTCGTTACTCTTCACGATAAACCGAGAAAGTACGTGAACCTCGATTAAAAATCGACCGCTCGTTACCGCCGCGCGCGTTCCCTTGAGGCGCCGTTGCTCTTTGCGGCGGTTACAAAAGACGTAGTATCGTTTAAATAAATTTAAATAAACTGAGCCACGAGCTCATATCCTGAATAATCTCGTTGCTCGAGACCGCGCTCGCTGTATGAGAGAAGCGTGCTTAATAATTCCGTATTTAAAAACATGGAATTTCGCTTTGTGAGGGGCGCGAGCTCTTACGGACCATTTTCGCAAATACCCGATATGAAAAACGCGGCCGTAACGAAGGAATAAATATTAAATCAAGCAGCGCTTCAGGCCAATGAGTTAAACGAGCAACGCCGTCGCTCTCGGAAAACACGTATCCGACAAAAAATTTTGCACCTCTTTCATAATACAAATAATAGCTTACGTCACGCCGAAAAATGGAAAAAGCTTCTCTCAGTTTTTATCATACATATTTGAACTGAGTTTCAACTGAGAAATTCGCCCGAAAAAAATTTTAAAAATAACACATGGTAATTATACAATTCCATTTTCCGTTTTTCTTCCACGAATTTTACTCCCCCAAAAATTGTTTTTTCTTTTAACAATTGTGTTATCACTGATTGACAAAAGTTTATTTAACTTTCCGATAAGTGATATTGTCGTTACTTTAATGTAAAAAAAGCACAAAATACGGACATTGTGTGAGAGATACACCGCATCTTTGAAAGAAGTACAAACTTTTGTTCCACAACGCGAGATACTTGAGGTACACGTGCGATCAAAGCGTAGTACACGTAAGTTCTCTTTAAACATCGATCAAACTCCAAACCAGTGCGATTAATCAAAGAAAATGCGTAATGGCCGTACAAGTTTTGTGCGTAGGCAAAGCGAGCTGATCGTAAGGATTTTTCTCGTTCTCTTAGTATCGCGTCGAGTCCTCGAGTGCTTGGTATTAATGAACAAAGTGCTACAAGTGTGAAACAATATGTCAATCTCGCAAGCCAAAAAACCAACATCGAACATTTGCTATTAAAGCGGGCTCCGGACGACGTGATCAATGTAGATCTATTGTATCCAAGAAAATAAATGTGATTCAGACCCATTTTGCCGAGCAGTTTGCAGTGGGTTTACTTATCATTCACTACAATAATTTTGCAACTGATTGATTTTACTTTCAAATATACAAGTAAAAAGTTTTTAGAAAAAATAAGTGAAACCAAATAAAGTAAATTGATTCTTTTTTCAGGAAATAATGCTCCAGCAGTATCTACAACAATTACTTTCTTCACTCCGCCATCCCTTTCAACACTGATTAAGTATTAGTCCACATTCTCCCGTCCAACAATGGCCGTATCGCTTGTACCAACATTTTCTCACGTGTCGATTGTTAGTCCAACATTGGTCGCCAATCTATTCACGAACGTTGGCGCGCATGGACCAATCATCCGGAGCCGGCTTAAGAAACTAATTGGGCCGTGCATCTTTTCATCTTATACACGGTGTTGTATCTAGCAAGTATCCTAAATATGATCAGCACTCGAGGTAGTTAAGTTATAATCTGCGAAGCGCGTTATGCGGTGCGCCGCAATGTCCGACGTTATACCAGTCGGCGGAAATTAACTATTCAAACGATACGTATGCGAGACGGCCGAAACAATTATATTCCCATATCCTAATGCGCGAGAGAAACGAGGTTGATATATTATTCAAGGACGCCAAATGGTTCTGTCTGTCTCGAGGCACAAATGCCTGAAATCTCAAACGGAAGAGATGGGTCGAAAACGTAATGGAGCACTCTCTAAGCGGCACGAATGCGTTAGCGGAGTGCTCACATACGCGTGAATATGCGCGTTGCATTGTGCCGTGCATAAACCCGTTAATGTTGTCGTGAAATTCCCGCTGCCGAGACGCATAGAACACCTCAGAGCCGATACTTGCGGTTAAATCCGCAATCTCTTTCGTATGATTTATCTTCCGCTAGAAAACGCGCGCTCTGTACGCACAAATTTTACATTCAATAATAAATAAAAAATAACTGTCTCCATTGAATTCGTTAAACAGAGATACAATATTTATAATTTCAAGATCTTTGAAGTAAAGAAAAGCATAGTTTGAGGAAAATGCATACACAATCAAAATAGTGCAAAACATTTTGAGCAATATGTGACAAGACTCACTTGAAAGAATGATGTGCATTACAAAGCATTTCATAAAGTTTCATAAAGTTACTTTAATCTATCTTTATGGAGAAACGCTGTGAACTGAACTGTAATTGACTTTTTAATGAATTTCGCGCGACAAGGAAATGACACTCGAGGTGCTCTACGATCTGGAAAAATGGAGTCCTTGAAAGCCTGCGCTGCCATTCAAACTGATCAATGTTATATGTTATACTGTACATATATAAACGCGTAGTTATCCAAGGATATCTGCCGACAATCATAATGGAAATATAAGGTGTGACAAAAAGTTTTCGGTAAAACTTTATAACAATTTATCTTGATTAGATCGAAATTTTATGGAAATTAATTGTAAATTCTCATTTTTTTAATTTTCTACGCACTCGTTTATCACGTTGAAAATATTGAAATGCTCGAGACTTTCGTGTTTAAGAAAGCAAAAGTAAAGCTCAACCCGAGAAAAAATGGTATAAATAGTCAGATGTAAATATATACAATTAGTTATGAAAAGATCCGAATTTTATATGATCATATAAAATTACATATGTTATTAGATTTTTTCATAACTAATTATATATATTTACATCTGACCATATTACACCATTTTTTCTCGGCAAGTTTTTACTGCAAAATTATTTGCTCTAATTATTGCAAAAATAATATAAATCACATACATTGTTGCAGAACACCCTATAGAATGCTTTTTACTCTTGTCGGTACGAAAATCTCGGATTGCGAATAGGCTGGCTGAACTTTC